GTTCGTTGGTGCTCGGACATGTCATCGCTCATGTTTACTAAATAAGTGGCCAACGAGATCCAATTTGCATGGCCTAAGTCCAACTGGGCGCCCACATGCCTCATGTCGAGCGATCTTCCACCATGCCCTGGGCGCTCGCCTAGTGTTAAGGCAGTAAGCTTGAATTTCATATTCGTGAGATTTCCTTTTTAGGGCCCAATATAATATCCCAGTACAAAATTCCTTAATTGCGAGATCTTTTAAAGGAAGAGGTGATTTAATTTAAATGCTCGGTGATTCTAGGTGTTAGTGACAAGAGCTTCCTTGATTCCATCACTTGGGGTAACCCTTTTGGTATGAGACTTTAGATTCAACTCCTTCATATGCCACTTTTAAGTAGATTCCTTCAGGAAAAACTTTTAAGTAGAGCTCTCGAGCGAGATTTTGAGTTGAGTTCCTCAAACGAGACTTTTCGTTGAGTTCCTCAGAAGAGACTTTGAGTTGAGTAGCTTAAGCACATATTTGGGTTGAGTCCCTTAGATGAGACTTTAGGTTGATACATCACCAATCCCCTATACTTATAGTGTTCTATCATCTTCAAATTTCACCTCATTCTTCATGGTTTGATTGATCCTTACAAATCAATTATTCCTTGCAATCATGTGAGTTAAGCATCTTGAGTTAAGTTGCCATTGATCACTATATTCAGTATCTTCTTTGGTTGTTACAAACATATTTTCTTTAGTTGGTAGTGGAATACATGATTTTTGTATTCGACTACAACTTCCTTCAGCAACAATCACCATTAACGGGGTGTTCTCATCATCATTTTCTCGCCTAGAAAGCTTTACTTCATCTTCTTGTGGATCTTTCTTATTGTTATAGCATTGATCAACAAAATGTTTAAATTTTTGACAATTGTAACATTGAACATTACTCTTGTCAAATTTATACTTGTCACATCTTCATCTATAACTTCCACTACCTCTATATCCATTATTAGATCCATTATGATTGTTGTTACCACTTTTACCTTTTTGAGATGTTACTTTGCTGAATATATTTTGAGAATCCATACCATCATTATTGTGATAATTTCCTGTGCCTATATTTCCCAAATACTTTTCCTTTTATCTCTTGTCTTTGTTGAATTGTGCTTGAAGTGTAATATATACCTTTGCCTTATCAATGATTCATTCATCCATTATTTATTCATGTGCTTCAAGAGACCTGTACGACTCTTCTTTGCTCATCTTCAAGAGATTTTTGGACTCTTCAATTGCCACTACCACATTATCAAATCTTCATGTTAAAGATCTCATTATTTTCCCAACCACATTTTGTTCATTCTCCACTAGTTTTGATTTGATTCACCAACTTGTGATGTTACATAGTCACTAATGCTTATTTCTCCTTCGCCTGAATCAATTCCAATTGTTTTTTTTTAAGTTTTTAACCTCACCACTTTTCCTTTTGTGCTCTTGCATATGATTTCTCAAGATATCCCAAGCTTATTTTGAAGATTCACAGTTTTCAACTTTCTCAAAATTATTTGCATCAACTCACTGATGTATTAGGTATAAAGCTCTATAATCATGTGTTTTCTCTTCCTTATGTGCAACAGTCACTTCAACTTCAATTGGTTTCACACCATTTTTTATCACTTCAAGAACATCTTGATAATCAAACATCCACCTTCATCTATTTGCATAATTTGTCATAATTATTTGCATCAAGATTTGGAAGGTTTACAGAAATTCGTTCATTTGAGATTTACGCCATCATTCACTAGATCAAGAACTAGGATCTTGATGTTAAATGTTACAACAAGAAACATATTCACAATTGAATAATAGAGAAAGAGTGTATGTCTTATTTGATTAAACCCTTCAAAAGGTTATATATATATATATATAACATTGCACACAAAACTCAATTAACTGAAAAACTAAAATGTCACACTTGTAGTCGAATACAGACATCTTGTATCCGACAACCACAACATGGTATTTGGCTGCTACTACTATGTATTCGAATACCACATTACATGAATTACAAGTTTTAGAACAACCTTGGAGTTTAGTTTGGTATTTGATTCAGAAATATTATTTCCTTCAAGTATTGTGGACGGTGGTGATTGATGACGAAAAATTTCAATACGGTAGATTGTCATGTATATGCTTGGTGGTAGGGATGTGCTTGTAAACATTCTAACAATGAAGTTAGTGATCACTATAAGAGCATCCACATCCATCATACTCATTTGGGTTCTTTAAATGAGACCCACATAATTTTTTTATATTATTTCACACTTCTCAATTTTTTTAACAACACATCTATAATTCTCAAATATCCACGTAACTCATCAAAAAATTTAAAATGGGTCCCACATTTAAAACAAATCAACTACATTCTTGCAATTTTATTTATTAATTTATTATCATGACCCACTTAATTGGAGTGTAGAAGCGTGCTTTAGTATGAGGACGTGCTTTAGTTTAGGAACGTGAAAACAAGTGAAATATCCATTTATTATTGACACAATTTCTTTAATAAATGTGTAGAAACTCTCAAAAAACACCAATAATCATGCTCTAAGTGTAAGAATCTATTATCTATCTATAAAAATCATAGTCCCTGGAAATTACCACAACACCACAGCTGAAAAAATCCATTGTTGGTCTATTGTATTGGGGTAAAATTGGAAAATCCAAAATATCTTGCACCATATTGATTTGAATCTGATGTGGCACTCCCACAATTTTTCACCACATTTTCAATTTTTTTTTCCAAATAAATCCATGCCAAACCATTATGCCTCTCTTCCTCTTCCCCATGCCAAACCATTATTCCTTGCCATTCATTGTGCCTCTCTTCCTCTTCCCCATGCCAAACCATTATGCCTCTCTTAATCAGAATTCAAATTCAAATAGAACCCCAAAAGTTTTTCACTATTCCTTCAATCCTTCCCCAATGTGTACTTATGTATAACCTCCATTGCTTAACACCTTCCAGTCGTTTTCATTCACGCAAGCCATTGCTACAGACGTCCCTTTCGTTTTCATTCACGCAAGGCTCTCTGCGCTGTTACGAATCGCTGTGTGACGATGGCGCGCCCAATCGAGTATATCAGTAGCATTGACGATTCGAAGGATTTGTGGAAGGTTGATGTTAGATGTAAGCATCTGTGGTCTGTTACCAGTTCTCAGAATAGAGAGCACTTAGAGCTTATTCTGTTTGATTCAAAGGTATAATACAATCTAAACGTTTCTGCTTTGCCATTCTGATTTTGTTGTAACAGTACTGGTATATGATACTGATTTCAAGATGTTTGTATTTTCACAGTTGGATTTGATTCAAGCCATTGTGCCATCTTATTTGGTATCAAAATTCAAAACACAGCTTGAACTTGGTTGTTCCTACATAATGCAGAATTTCAAAGTTTCCAGCAATGATTTCTCCTTCAAATCCACTGATCATAAGTTCAAATTGATTTTTTGTGGTTCAACTTCCGTCAAAAAGGTCCAACTTGCTGACATACCTCTGAACCACCTCAAGTTAATTGGAATAAATGCTATTATTGAGGGTAAATACAGAACGAATTTGTTATATGGTGAGTTACATTTTTACTGTTATAATAGAACGCATTGTATTGTGACTTCTCCGTTATACATAACTGTCTGTGGTGAACTTTTGTGCAGATATAATTGGTGGGGTTACTGAAATATCCCAAGCCCAGATAATTCCTGATAACAACAAAAGCAAGGTTGTGTTTTCATTAACTGATCTGAGGTAGGTGTTTCATTTTGTTTGTTAACATTGATGCTGATAAATATAAAAGTATAACATGTTCATGTTGTTTGTTTTGTAATTCCTGTCAATCAGCAAACATCATGTGCAATGTACTCTTTGGGGTAAATTAGCTGTGCAACTGAATGAGTATTATACGACTCATAAGGCTGATGGTAGTATTGTTCTCCTACTTATGAATGCAAGGATCAAGGAACCTCAAGGTATGCTATGTGACTATTTCTTATTATATCCAATTATTATATCCAACTTTAAGTGTTGTCATTTATAAATATCTCAATTTTCAGGAAATTATCCTTTAAATGTATCAAATGCTTGGAACGGCACAAAACTGCTCATCAATGATTTGTCTATTGAGGAGGTTAAAAACCTTAAAGAGAAGTAAGTGATTTTATTATGAAGTTATGAATTAGCAACCTATGATTACTAACAGCCTGTTTTCATTCTGATCTATGTACATCAGACTTAAAGATGATCTGCCGACGCTCTCATCCTCGAGCATGCAAATGGAAACCATAAATACCTCTGTTTTTTCTGATTTGGACAAATTTGTATGGAAAGCTGAAGTGTTGAGTCTGTATGATATTGCATATCTGCAGACTGTAAGTTGCTCTTTAATACATGACTGTCTTAGATTGAGGAATTACACAGACTGGGTTCTAATCCATTTTTTGAGACATCATCCCATCTTTCTGTTTCAGGAAACTACATGTGTGACTGTTGCGACTCTGGAGAAGTTTGAATGTGGGCAGTCAGGATGGTATTATGATGGATGTAGTGAATGTACCAAAAGTGTGACTTTGAAGGATGGAAAATTCATGTGTTATTCCAAACACATCAGTTCTGAGCCAGCCCCAAGGTAACTTCTAAGTATTGCATATCAATGATTATCATCATATAACCAAACGCTTCATTACTGACAATTTATTATTTTGATCACGCATGGTACAGGTTTAAGCTTGAAGTGCTTGCCTCCGATGGAAAGTTAAAATACAAGTTCGTATTTTGGGATGTAGATTGTGTAAAGTTGATTGGGAAGTCCGCCCTTCAGATGAAGTTGGATTTGATGGAGGTATTTTCCATTTGGCTAATATGTAAGTTAGATAATTACCACATAAATAACATATATTGTTTTAATCATTTAGACTGGAGATTTTGATCCCCTTGAATTCCCTTATGAACTTGATGTGATGCTGAAGAAGGAGTTGGCTATGAGAGCAGTGTTTCAACTAAACAAGGCCAGTCTTTCTGTAATCGGATTTAAGGCAGATGAAGTGCTACGTACCAAAACAAAGGAGAGGTTTAAATGTGAAGAGGTACTGCTGTACTCATGTTTTACTGTTGTTAAAATCAGTATCATGTGCATTGGATTTTTTTTAACAATTGTTTAAAACTTGCAGCACACTTCAAAGATTGTCGTCTCAACAGATGACACTCGGGATGATATGCATACAGCATCGGTATGTTTTAAATAGGAACGACCTATTACTCTTGCCATCACATTTTGAACAATTGTCTAACGTTTATTTCTTGCGTTTTTTAACTTGCAGTGTACTCCGACCATCAGCACCTCGGAAAAACAGTCTCATGCTGATCCACAAACAGTTTCAGTGCGTCTTTTTTTAGCTTTCAACATTAACAAATTATCCTATTAAACAATGTCTTACTTCCTTTTTTATGCTACTGATTTTGTAATGACTCTTTAATGGCAGGATCCGTTATCAATCACTGCAGATTATGACCCTTCAGTTGCCAACTCTGCACTTACACCGTCAAAAAGATCTATTCCTGAGACAGTTGAAGAACTCGACAGTGCCCAACTATCGTCCACCAAGATAATAAGGGACATCAAGCTGGAGAAATGATGCAGTCAATTATCGTCGACGATTTATTTTTACTTTAAGCTGTTTTGGACAACATTGCACACCTTATTTTGATTGATGTAATGAAATATTTCTGGTTTACATTTTGTTTATTCTGGTTTATGAGGATTTGATTTGTCATTCTTGCTTTTTGTTTGATCCTTTTGACATTGTATATGAAAGAATGATATGATTTTAGTCATTTAAGCTGCAAAAAACTATGCATAATTTACACTACAAAAAGCAATATGATGTTGGTAATTCCTTATTTTGTTTAATATAATAAACTTATTCTGGACAAAAATGTTTCTCTTTATGTCTTGATGCTGGACAATCCATATTGTTTTGCATACTTTATGCATAATACACGGTAGTATATCAGCATAATGTACATTAATCTAAAAAACTGATACATGAATAACAGATTATGCATAGCAGAAATCCATGACACTTGATTAATATAAATTGTTACCGGATAATACCGGAAACGATATGCAATTATCTCATCAACGCAAGATATGGAACTAATTTTGTATCATCCCATTTAACATATCATAAGCAGATTGTACATTGAGCCGTAGCCCAACAATATCAAATAACAAAACTAATAACAAAGACAAATGGGCATCAAATAGATTTTCAAAACAAATAGTTATGCATTTCCGCCCATACAAAAATAATCCCTCCTTTTTGCCATGATGCTTGTTATACCCCAAAATTTGCCCTCCCATATTCCTCAAGAAATTGTCAAGCCAAGCTAGAAAAGTTCCCCAAGGGTTGTGCAGTGCAACAGTCTCCTAAACAGTCCAAATTAGGGTTTTGAGTCTGATCAAGAAAAGGAGGTTTTCAAGAGCTCAATCAAGTCTCATATGCTTACAAACATGGTCAAGCATCCTCATATCAAGTTTCAAGGCATTCAGCTCAAGATTGCACAACCAAAACCCTAAATTGCACTACAGTCAACTGTAGGGGCAAAATGGTCATTTGGCAGTCAAAAGCTCAAATTTTTGGTCAATATATCATTTTGAAGCCACAAACATCACTTGATCAATGCTTGATCATGATTCTCAAAGTTTGGCTCAGAAATCATCAAAGATGCAAAAGTTGTTATATTTGGACAGCTGAAAAAGTCAACTGAAATTGACCAGGGCATAACTTTCACATGGATTATCAGAAAAATTCCATCCAAAGCTCATTTTGAAGAGAAAGACATTTCCTACAACTCATCTTCATACTTCAAGTCCAAGAAATGCTCTCACAAAAAGTTATCAATTTCAACATTACAGGTCATTTTCAAAAGTCAACAAAAAGGGACTTTAAGTCAAAGGCCATAACTTGAGATTGGTAAATCAAAATGACATGGGACCAAAGACATTGGTTAAAGGACTCAAAGACCTTTCCAAAATGTCCAAGAACATGTGAAAAGCTTAAAAATTGAGCAAGTTATGCCTTGTAGAAGTTGGGAAATTTTTGTGAAATGGCCAAAGTCAATTATCATTGAAAATCCAATTTTGACAAAAGGGCCCCATTTTTCTCACTTTGTCCATCCTTGTCATGCCACACACGTGGCCCATGGTTGATTTCAAGACCAAATGTTGACTTTTTCATTTTTATTTAATTTTTGATGATTTAATTCATTTAATTCATTAAAAATTCAAATAAAATTTAAAAGTCAATGTAATGGTGTCAAATGAATTTGGACAAGTTCTATACATCATGAATCAATTCAAAAATCAGGCCAAGGTTCATTTTCATACTAAGTCTAGGTTTTGGCTAGAATTTAGGAAAAAATGGTTAATGAACAAACCCTAATGCCAATTCTTTCTCAAGCATGGATTAAGGTCAAATAGCAAGCCTATTCAATTGCAGGATGATCACTAAGTCCAACCCTACCTAGAACATGGCACAAAGCACGCTGAAAAGGCATTTGGCAATTTGAAAATTTGGCTATAAAGTGCAAATCTGAAATCATAGCTAGGGAGGTTCTCAAGCCAAAATTTTTGTACCAATAGCTTCCTGAGATCATTTTGAACGTGTCCCAATCCATAACCTCAAGCAAAACGCCAAGAAACGGTAGTTACCATCCCAACTGTACAGAGGGATTTTTGAAATCGAACTCTCAATTCTAAGCATGGTTACTGCATTTTGATTACATATTCTTGTTTCTCATAATGTTCTAAAGCTAACTGTATTAATTAATTTCATTTTGGAGCAATATGTGCGATTTGGCCATGAATGGTATTTAGGGTTGCAGGTTTCTTGATTTGGGGTTTTTATAACCAGGCAAAATCAGGCCATCCCAGTACCACCATTGAAACCAGTGCATTTGGACGAACAAACTGAGATGCTCGCGCCTAATTTATATTAGGATATGAGCTATTCGTTATTTTCCTGTAGCTGCCCTAACGCAACACTGCAAAAAACGTTGCCTATTAGTTTTGTTTTACAGGGAAGGGGAAGAAGACGAGGCCGTGTCACGTATTGATTGGTGCGTTTAAAAACGCGCGCGCTTTTCCAGGCCATCAACGCGTTTGCTTTTTGTTATTTAGTTGTTAATATATATTAAATGAAGATAACGTGGTTCAGTGGCAGGGATAGAAGTGTGCAATCTACAAGACCTGGGTTCGAACCCCAGGTCTGAATAATTCCATATTATTTTTCCAAATCAATTCCCATGCAGATTCCTCATTAGAGCATACCATGCACGCTCAAAATCCAGGGAACACGCGTCCAGTTGCCTGCAAATCAAGGGTCAGGATTCAAAGAACGTCATATACAACAGTCAACGCATCATATCTGATTGGAGAAGTCAACAATCTCCATGCTAAATGGGCCAGGCCTTTCTAATCCATACCCTCCAATTCTGGGGTTTACCCCCCCCTGGTTTGCCCATTTGATTTTTTTTCTTTTTTATCTTTAAATCATTTATTTCAATTATTGTATTATTTTAATTACTTGTTTTATTTAATTTTAATCAAAAAAATATAAAAAACATTAAAAATACAGAAAAGACAAAAAACAATATAATTAATTTTGATTCTTTTTTTAATAAATTAAAATGGGACTCATTTAGTTTAATTAGGTTTTAATATTCATTTTAATTCTTTTTTCATAATAAAAAATCCAAAAAATGTAGAATTAGGTTCATTTAATTTTCAATTTCCTTTTTTAATCCTTTAACCTTTTTCACACAATGTTAATATTTATTATTTATTTTCTATAAATCAAAATTGTACATAATTAGTTTAGAATTTAATTAGGTTAGAAATTAAATCTTTTTCATAATAAACTTAAAAAATGATAGAACTAGGATTTTAATTTTAATTAATTTTTCTCTTTTTCTTTTAAACCTAAAAAACACAAAAACATTATTTTTCATTTAATTTTTAATTTTAAAATTCCTTGATCATTTTAATTATCTGTTAAAGGGTCCAACGCCCTAATTTTGTTTAGTCTTTATTTCGCGCATTTGTTTTATATTGTGTAAATACCTCTGTATATGCCCCAAAGCCATGTAATTAAAAACTCTCGGACTTTTTATTTATTCGCTTTATTTTACTTTCAGTCAAATCGGGTTCGGTTTTTTTTGGCGATGTGGACCCGCGCCCGTTGTAATAGTTAGATTTATTTTCTCGCAAATATAACTGTTAATAAATATGCATGAAAGAATGAATGCCCGAAAAATAAAATTGAACCGTTAGATCACCAATGCATGACAAGACAAACAATGAACTGAAAATGACACACAATTCGCACACACCACTCCTAGGGTACGCCTCACTGTTGCCTTTCGAAAGGTGGTCGTCGAGTAGAAAACGTCTTAGTAAGTCCTCATGGTCCGGGAACCTGGCATGAGGGTAGCTTCTAAGGTGTCTTCCCATTGCTCCGGTGATCACCATGTCCCTAAAATCGAATTGACCCGAACACCTCCAACGGTGGTGCTACCTACCTCTCAATGGTGGGATGGCACTACTTTAAAGGACATTTACACAGACGAATTCCTTAGGGTAGGTAGGTTCTCATAGGTACTTGCTCTCTTCAAAACAAAACAAAAACTTTTTTCACACCGACACACTTTCAAAAACTTTCAAAACAAACTTTTCAAAACACTCTGACGTACGAGTTAAACTGAAACTTTTCAAAGAATATTTTTGAAACCCACATTGAAAAGCAAACAAATAATTTTGAAAACACATTGAGCAAGTACCTAAGAGCCCATGGATAAACCATGGATAGAAAGGGTGCTAATACCTTCCCTTTCTATAACCTACCTCCCGAACCGAGAGCAATCTCTTAAAAGGAATTTTTCTGTGCTTTTGTCCTTTCCTATTGGAGAAAATAAAAGACGGTGGCGACTCTTGCTTACCGCGACATTTCGCGAACCAGCGTTAAACAGTCAGTTCCAGATCCACCGATCACAGAACTGGCGACTCTGCTGGGGATAAACTTAAAGTGAGGTGTACCTTAGGACTAAGATCACTGTGTTTTCAATTGCTTTCCTTGTATGCTTTAAAATTGTGGGTTGCTTGGGAGTTCTATAGATCCTAACCCGGATCTGGGGGATACCTTTTTAGAAAGTAGCAACAAGGCTGTGAGGGAACTGTGCGGGGTATACCGACATGGTTGAAGCAGTCTGCTACGTTGATGTGGCATTTTGGTGTGTACCGGTAACCCTTGAGTCAGTCAAGGAGAGTACGGGGCCTCCATGTGGTGTCATGAAGCATCAACAGACCTTAGGAACCTTAATTGAACCATCTTGGCCTCTTTAGGGTAGTGAGATAACTGACTTTGGTGCAGTCCGAGGTTGGTTGATACTCGATACTACACTCAATTGAGGGTTGCTTTCCTGGAATATTTCGGTCGCCAGTTCAGTGGCTAAATCGAAACGATGAACAATGAAAGCAATCCCGTGATATTGGGAACCTTAGAACCCGGTTACTTTGATTAGGACAGGATGAACCCACCAACTTCAAGAGGGTACTACCCAGACCTCATGCTGGCCT